ACTTTACTAGTTACTTGAAAAAAGTAATCTGATTACGTAACTCGCGTTACTTGTAATATATTACCCCCAACACTGTATATTACATCATAGGCTTTTACACTACATTTCAGACTAAAGATCCCACTGAATACAAAATAAGATTATACTGTAAAAACTGACCACAATTTATGTTAAGTTAAAAAATATATATATATTTTTTTTATTTTGCTCTAAAATAAATTCAGATAGATTTATTCCATATTTGCGAGTAAAGAGAGATGAAAAACAGAGCGCTCAGACATTTGCTGTAGAGAGTAGAGAGGTTAAGCTCAATCCATCATTCCTGTTATCTTAAGAGTCAGTCGTATTACACACACAACAAGCATTCAAGTCAATAAAGGTTAAATTACAATTCAACACCAGACAGGCAGAAAATCAAGGCTGCAGCAAATGTCGCACTTACAAAATGCTCACGTAACCAGAGGGACCCCAGCGACAAAACTGGGCTCGATTTGTTTAAAATGTGTGTGCGTCTGAGTTTTTATATGTTCTTTTGTTGGCTTCGTCTACCACCGTGAGTTGTTCCTACCTCTGACATACAGGTTGGCAGGTGCGGAATAGCGTGTGCCATCGTTGTTGGTCGCGACACATTCGTACTTCCCTTGGTCCGATTCCTCGCTTTGTTCGATTTGCAGCGCTCCTACACAGTGGGAGAGAACACCAGCAGAAAAAGATAATTACATTAATAACACGAGCCATTAAACAACTTTCACCAAATCACACGCTAGGCCTATTTCTCTCTATAAATGGCGTTATTTCCTCTGTTTAGGTCTCTGCCACAAAATGGCTCGGGCTAAAGGCCTGCCGCTATACTGACGCTTAACCCTGAGAGGCGACATCTGCAGGCATGCCTCGCATTGGACAGCTCGGTACAGACTTAACCAGTTTATGCAAGCTAAGCTCCTGGAAGCTGGGGGTAGAAATGTTTCCCCTTAAAATGTCTAATGCAGTGTTTCATTCTCTAGGCCCGATGCAATATGGGAAAGCAATTTTGGCACTAAAGATGGATTTCACGGTGGATCCGCGATGCATATTATGATTTTGTCAGGAATGGAGTCATTTCGAGGTGCTTAAATCGAAGTGTGTTGCGAGCTCGTATCTCGCCATGCTGACTATCTAGGTGCCGGCCTAGAGAAGAGCGTGACGAGCACTGCAGTAGACATTCGAGAGCGCACACAGAAAGAAACCAAAAGAAAAGAGACTTTGCAGCATCAATTATCTCTGACATTTTACAACCACATCAATGGAGAGGAAAACATACAGTACAGGATACATGTTGCAGGGTTTCTAAAGGCACTTAATCGTACGGGTGGTTCAAAATAGTTTGAGCTTTACTGTTTAGAAAAACAGTTGTCATAATAATCAATAATAATACTGATCGATTATTAATTGAGAGGTCTACAAAAGGTGATGGGGTAGCCCTGCAATATTATTACACATCTCACAGGACTGTTCATTATGGGAATGAGTGAAAACTGCAATACAGCAGCATATGACTCAAATAAAAAAAGGTTTACAGTATACAAAAGCAGCATAAAAGGGGGAGGACAATTAAAAAAAAAAATTTGGCTAATAAAATTTGATGTTAAATTCAATTCAAATTGATCGCGCAATAAAATGGCCAAGGACTTCAGATGGTGGAAGTCAGAAAAAGCGCAGCATTTTTAGGAAAAAAAAAAAAGTAGGCTGCTTGAATCGTAAAAATGGAAGAAGTTAAAAAATCTGTTGGGAGAATTATCGTTACCAGTACATAAACCTCCAGCACATGCAAATCTTTCCAAAGAACAAGAAATGTGTGTCGGCACAACTTACAACCTTTTGACAACCCTTAGCTGAAAAATAAAATGCAATTGTATTAGAGGTCAAAATTCAAAACGGCTTGCGCCGACAAGAAAGCAACCAATCACTGCCATAGCTTTGTGCTACAAATGACACCCATAAAAATCCACCAATGGGATCAGCAGTGTGGTGTCACATGACCCAGGGAAAAAGGTTTCTTGCAATGCACCGAAGCACCGCCTCCTGAGGAGCTTGACCAAAAAACAAAAACACAAAAAAAAATGACACAAAACGGCCACCTCGGTTTCGTCTGCCAGACCCACTGTTAGCTTTTCCCCAACCCTGAAGAATGGAAAAAATAAAAACGTCAAAAAGGAAAACAGCCTTCAACCCAAGAAAAGCAAGAAGGAAAAAATAGGTGGTGGAAAGAAAAAAGCACCGCAGAAACTTTATCAAAAAAGTGGTTGTTTGGGCTTTTTTAGCTCCTTTTGAGAAGGGTACAGGTAGAGGAAAGCAAATGGAGGACGAATAGTGAAAAAAAAAGTTTGTAAAGACAGAAAGATGCTTTTTGGGGAAAAATCGTGGCAGAGAGGTCTTCGGCGTGTCTCCGACATCTGGGCTCATGTGAGGCTGAGCAAGAACACAGCTAAGGGGGGAAAAATGTTTGGCTGTTTTAGTTGGACGAAAAAAGGGACACATGATCTGCTATGGCCAAAAGATAAGAAAAATAATAACAAAAACAATGAAGCAGAAGAGAGAGAGAAAGAGAGAGAAAAACAAAACAAAAAAAAAACATGTATAGGATATGCTTCTTTGGGCTGCAGTAAGCATATCGACGGAAGAAAAAACAACCAAAAATACGAGAGGCTTTCTCGAACTGAAACCAAAACCAAACCAAAGAACTGAAAAGCGCCGAGGCAAAAATGGCGAGATATGGAACAGAACGGGATGTAGGAGGGATGATGGGAAGATGCCGGGGCGTTCGATGGATGCAGACACATGAGGGACAGGAAGAATGAAGTCAGTTGTTCATTCTGTGAACTTGAGTTGAGCACTCTTACCTCTTATTGGCGTACCACCTGGGTGGATTATATGAATGCAAATAAGATTAAGAAAGAAGAGTCGTTAGTGCGAGAAGAGAGGCTGGCCGCTTTGGAAGAAGAATCAAATTAGCTTTGCTTTGCTTTCTTACAGACTGTATTAGGCTACAACAGGAAAGAGAGATTCAGAAAAGACAGCCATTGGCTCTAGTGGAGAAAAGCACAGGATTGAGCATTGGTCACTTTAGGAGGTCAAAGAGCAACTGGCACAGTGGATGAAGCACAAGGGGCCGTTCTGAGACCTGTGGCAGTGGCCGTGATCTAGCGGGAGAGGGGAGCTGAGGACTGATTGACTGGGAAACAGTGGAGAGTCTTTGAGCTGTGAGCTTTAGAGACACAGATGGAGTGAGAGTGTCAGTGTCGGTCCTGCCAGTGTGGCCCTGAGCGTGTGCTTTACTGCTAGTCAGCTAGTCAGTGTGTTCTGCTGGCCTATTGACACCGTTAGTAAAATGCATGCCATGCATTTTAACAGTAGTTTGAGAAACATAGTGGAGACATTAGTGGGAGGCATGTGTGTTCAGATCTACAAACTTACCAAAGGACTCTGGAGATTTACAAAACAGAGAGAAGAAAGACAGCATAGAAAATATGATTATATTCCTTACGTTTGCTCTGGTTGACACACTTAAATCTGACACTCTATTGTACAGGATGAAAATCAAGAGAGAAATCAGACAACGGCAGAAAAAAGGACAAGGGCAGAGCGGAGGACTCTGGGAAGACATGTCGTAGCATCGAGGGCTGGAAAACACATCGGAGCAACTCGAGCGACAAGGTCAGCTTACGTGTTTTGCGAAACGGAACGGGGGTTTTGCGCTACTTAAAGAGAGACCGCCCGATGCAAAGAATCACCAACGTGTTCAGCCCTGAATTTAGTCAGTTGGATGCGCAAACACACGAGGGTCACACAAACACACACACACAAAAGGACGCTCTTTTTTGTCTTTTTTTTGCTAGTTTTTGGGCATAATCGAGGTTCGCCAGGTCGTGTGCTGCGTCATGATATGAGAGCAACAAACAAAACAACTTTGATGATTCTTTCGAGAGCTCTGAATGAAGCCAGATCTTACTCATTGCGCATTGGAGGAAGGAAAATAAGGACATGGAGAACGACACTTATTTATTATGCATGGTTCGGCTGCTTTTTGCAACTAAGTGTTAAAATGGAAACAAAACAAAGCCCAATTTAAGCTGGCCAAAAATGCAGTCATAGCAGTGAATCATGGGTAATAAATTAAACAGACAGGAACACAAGACACATCACACACAGAAGGGACGCAGACGACGTAGATGCCGTTTCCTACAGAAATCCAAAGAAAAGGCTCCATGAGAAAGAACAGAAACTCAAACGGAAAGAAGGACAATAGCGGCTCTTGTCATTGCTTTTCTTCTAGCGTTACGGAGGGAAATTACCTGATCGGAGCTGTTTGATGCGGCCGTTGTTGTTACTGGTGTTGACCGGGAGGAAGTCTTTGAACCAGGAAATGTCTGGGTCGGGGTTACCGCTAGCAGCACAGAGCATGGTGGCAGTACGGGTGCGCTCCACCACCTTGAGCTGGGGGCCCATATCTATGGTGGGGAAACCTGGGGGCAGCTGATCCTCTGAAACACAGGAACACCAGCACTGTTACACACACACACACACACACACACTTTCACCGAAGCTGCTGCGGGAACCTGCATGAGGAACTCAGGGTGAGGAAAGACACACACAGTAAGTAAGCCTTCAAATAACATCAATATTAAACAGACAGAACTAGAGCGAGGCAATAAACCTTTACCCATCCAACTTCTACATACAGTTGAATTATTTGTGTGTGACCTCGTCATTTTTCAATAAACATCCACATTAAACAGAGCAAATGTCTAGTCAGTAAATCATGGCAGAATGGGTTTGCAAGTACAAGGCTTACAAATGTGTATTCTAAATTAAGCTGCTCTGGTTTGTAGCTATATATAAACCATATATCTCTCTTGAATTGTTGAATTATCTCCACAACGGCAATTTGTGAAAAGAAAACAAATTAATAAACTATATACTTTTATAGCAACGATAATTTATTTTCAATAATCATTTGGAAAATGTAATTAGGTGACATTCTCTTCATCCCTCAAACATCAAAAGAAAACTAAAAAGAAGTGTAAAAGTATTCAATTACTCTCAGCAGACCATGACTAGAGGCTCATTCACACCTAGACATATAGACGACCGCTGAACCCAGATGTAATGTATTCTAATCAAAACTATGAGAGCAAGGTGAGGATTACCAATATTTTTGCATTATGAAGAATTGTGTCCAAAATAATTATTTTAGAAATGTTCTTTCAGTTATATCTGTGGTCATTGGTGATTTTCAATTTCAATATCCACATCTTCAGCACAAAATGTAGCTAAAAGATAAATAAATAAATACCTAGCGGTCTGATGTCTTTTTGGAACTCAAGTTTGACCAACATTTTCTGAAGGTTAACCACCTTGTGTGTGTGTGTGTATGCGTGTGTTTCTGTGAACCTCCAGCAAATACAAGCAATCTAAAACAAACACAAAGTCAACAAGCCTCTAGGGATCATTACCAACACACATGCACACAAACACACAGTAATTACCACTGAACCACAGACATCTCCTGGGATTCACTTTCTATGAACCTCAGCTCAGGTACACAAAAACACCAAAATACTGCTTACACAGATATACCGCCTCTCTTTCACTACTACCACTGCCTACACTGCATTTCACCATGTTTTTGGAAACATTTTGTAAAAATGGATTATAAATGCAATGATTTGCTGTAGATTTACTTTATAATAGTGCAAATGGGCCTCTATGGTGTAGCTGCCGTATTACTGTACAGTGAATGCTTGAATGTTGACAGTTCACGGGACATTTTCTCTTGTTTCCAGAAAACAGTGAAGGATTTGAATGAATGAATGATAGACAACAGAATAATATCCCTGTCTAAATAGTGACTAAGGAGTGATTACGACACTTCAGCGCCTCAGAGGGAGGCATCTGCTGTAATGGTGGATTTCCTGCAGCTCATAAAGAGCTTGAAACGCTCCTCATTGTCTCGGAAATCATTATAACATTCGTTCAGAGTGCTGCGAATCAGCAAAGATTTGAAGATGTCCTTAATTTATGCCAACCAATTGCCAAGGTCTGCGTTTCGAAATTCATACATCTCAAGGTTTAATTCATAATTTAACACCTCAGTAAAAGGAAATGATCTCAGTAGAAGAGGATGGTTAACTGTAATGAAAATAATGTCACACGCACACACACACATACACAAAATAAAAATAAAATATTTATGCAAAATACAGTTTTGAGGGGGAAATATGACCAAGACATGTTCTTGGCAGGTTTCATGATTCATCCATTTGAAAAAAAGCATAAAGCAGCACAGCTGCTCTGTGATGTCCAGAATTGCCTGATGTTTCCCATGTTATTCATTTAAAACACTTCCAGTAATCATCCCTTGGGCAATAACACAAATGTCTTTCTGCAAACATTCTACTCTAAATCCTCTCGTGACTTTCACAGACTGTGAGCTACATAACGCAGTGGATGAGCATCTAATTTGAGCTCTTCTGTGGTGTGTAGTCATCGTCTGTTAGGAGGTACTTTGCAGCTAAAGTTACATGTCAGTCTGTTTTCCTAAACATGCAGGTATAAAGTTACAACAAAAGCTACAGAAAGCTGCTGAGGGATCATTCTGATGTCTAACCAATACTTGTGTCTGACCCCAACATTGTGTCATATTAGCTGATAGCAGGTTTTATCTGTTGTGGTGCACCACATCTTGTTGTTAGTTCAGCTGCCTTCACAATAAAGTTTAGCAATTTACCTCATTTCTGTATGTCTGTATATTATGTATGTCACCCATTTAAATCCCATGCACAATGCCTACTCATTATCTGAAAGTTTAAAGGTTTCCAGGAAGGGTGGGATCGGCTAAGCACTGGAGTGCTGCAGGGTTCAGTACTAGGCCCACTACTCTTCTCAATGTATGCTACAACAATTATAAAGGAGCACAACCTTTGCTATGACTGCTATACACATATGACACATCTTATCTCAGACTACATTTCAGACATTTCCATTTCTGGGTTACTTTTGAAATTCGCTCTTTCAGGACAACTAATAGCTATGGCTCCTTTATGATAAATGGCTTGGGTTTTTCCTCATTCTTAAAATGAATGAATGTACTAAATTATTTAATGTGAACACTGGCTTACTGTTAAGATTCAGCTGTCCCGTGTTCAGTGCAGAATGTGTCAATGCAGAAATGACCAGACTCACGCTCACTCGACTCTGCTAATTTATCGGCAAGGTTTATGGAAAGGTCAACAAATAACGTACAAGACACTTATCCAAAGCTCAGCACAATGCTAATTGCGTATTGGCTCTGGGTGTGCGTAAGTCTTTAAAGCAATGCCAAGGTCGACGTGTGAATCATGCTCTTTAAAACGAGCCAAATTTCACCTGCCATAAAGCCAAATGCCTGCAGTCAATCTTAGAGGAACAGAGGCAATGCTGCTAATAATTATCAAATGTGACAATCCATGCTGCTTGAAAATCAATGCCTTTCAGGCTATATGTATTGTTGGAAATCAAAATATGCCTGTGAGACTATACATTTTCTCTCCTGAGAGGAATTGTCTTTGGTCTCCGCTGCACAATACAGAACCTCAAATTCTCCTTCTATTAAAACTCGACAAGTTCAGCCAAATACATTCGTCCTTGGTCCTCTCCGGGCATGAGGGAGGTTTTTCCCTGGGATATTTTCTATTCATATTTCTCAAACTAACAGCAAAAGACTTTCTTTAGCTCCGCTGCATAATTAAATATGGATTTCTGGAGTCTGGCATTGTTTTAGCAGCACTTTCCATGAATACACTACACTTTGGTGTCCCTTTCTTTTAAAGCATTAAAGACACAGATCCAACATTGTTTTCTGAAGTGGGATGCATTAGATTTGTTAGATAAACTATGATCTAATAGAACATTAATGTGGCATGAAGGGTAGCTAGTTTTAAACATATCAGATGTATTTGAATGCCTTTTAAATGCTATATCGTCTACTGTACATCTAATAATTAAAATAATTAGTATTGTCATCCTTTCCACATAATCTATAGGACTGATAATCCATTCACTGGGATTCTGCAATGAAAGAAACTCATTCAGTAACATGTTTGGGATTCGTTTGGGGCAGTTATATACTTAAAACCATCTCAAACTAATCCCAACTGTTTTACTGTTTATGAGTTTCTCATTGCAAAATCCACATTTTGACACAAAGTAAGTGATTTAAAGGGGTGGTTGATTATGATTTCACTTTTTAAAGTTTAGTTAGTGTGTAATGTTGCTGTTAGAGCATAAACAATGTCTGCAAAGTCACGAAGCTCAAAGTTCAATTCAAAGGGAGATATTTTCTTTTAAAGTAAACGCTATTTAAGGACTACCAAAAAAAGGCAACCACCCCTTTAAGCAACACATATGCTGTTTACAAAAGCAGTATCTCTACTGAAAACATGAAATAAATTCAGCAAATAGACTTGAACTGTTAACTGACAGTGTTGATCAGGATTCCTGTTCAATTTCATCCTGATATTGGTATCTAAACAGCAACCAAAAGCATTTAACAAAAATCAGTGGTGTATTTAAAAAAAAAAAATACAAGTCAGTAATTGTTCGGTTTTCACCAAGAAGCACACACACACACACACACACACCTACAGGTGCATCTCAATAAATTAGAATGTCGTGGAAAAGTTCATTTATTTCAGTAATTCAACTCAAATTGTGAAACTCGTGTATTAAATGAATTCAATGCACACAGACTGAAGTAGTTTAAGTCTTTGGTTCTTTTAATTGTGATGATTTTGGCTCACATTTAAAAAAAACACCAATTCACTATCTCAACAAATTAGAATACTTCATAAGACCAATAAAAAAAAAAAAAAAATTTTTAGTGAATTGTTGGCCTTCTGGAAAGTATGTTTATTGAGATGCACCTGTAATCAGTATTACATTTATAAATCACCTCACGAATTAAACGGTACTTCACTCTGCGAGTTCTCTGATTAACTGTTGAAAAACGCCACGGCAGAGGCGAGGAAATAACCGCCGTTAATTGTTATTTAATTTGTGCTCTCCACATGATTGTAAGCTTTTCTAGGAGAAAGGTTATTGACGAAAACATTTTAAAGCATAAATTAATTGAGCGGTGTTTGCCTCTTTTTTCTGCTGCAGGAAGATTAAATCACAGCCAGGAGAGCGAAGGGGAAAACAGCAGTGCAGGTCGATCCAGAAGGTGAGGGCAAGAGGAATTGTGGTGTTTCGAAGGCAAAAGCAATGATACGAGAGGGAATTAAAACATTAAATTAAAAGTTAGAAGCACGTGAGATAATTTTTCCCACAATCGCATTTACCTTCTTTAACATCAAGGGCAAAAAGGATCCCAAGCGCTCACCTGAACTCTCATTATACACTAGAGTACAGTATATCTCCCTTCCTCACGTCACCTGATGCAGAATAATGGCACAGTCGTCCTGTGAAGATAGCCGCCAGAAATAAAGAAATACCCCCAGTGACC